GTTACCTATTTTAATTTACTCGAATTACTTCTGAATATCCCGGTGTTGGAAATTCAGTGTTCAATATTCAAATTACCGCACAAAATAAAAAGAACTTATTTCAGGTATATTTAATCGAACAGACAAAAAGGACAATTTATGCTTTTATATTACTTGTAGTTCACAGAAGTTTTTTTTTTCAGTTTTTAGTAAACAGCACTTATTTCGGGTATATTTAACCGAACACACAAAAGGAAAATTTATGCTTTTATATTTCTTGCAGTTCACAGAAGTTTTTTTAGTTAATCAAAGCCAGCAAAAGAAAACTCTGTCACTCGTTTTGTACATTCCGTTTCAAACAAACTAACCAAAAGAAGACAGTAGTTTCCCTGACTGCTCCTTTTATTCCAATTTTTTTATAACTGCCAAATCAAAATATTTTACTTAGCCGTTTTGCGGTCAATGAACTTAATTAGATTTTCTACTTCTAGACTTACGAAAGCTTTCAATTACATTGTTATTGATTGTCTTACCTTGCAATGTTAACACTGCACTCTCAGCTTTTCCTATTATTCGCTGCAACTTTTGGCGATAAAACGAAAATTATAACAAAACAAATTAAAATAACGTTTCTCACATTGCTGGTTTTGTTATGATTTTTATGAATGTATTTGGATGTCAGTGATTTTTTTTCTTTTGTATATTTTTTAATTATTTTTAAAAAAATTATTTAAAATAAAGTTGGACGGACACACAGAGAAGGTATGTTAATATTACTATTTTATTGATATAGTATTCCTTATTTTATATAATTATCCTTTCTTAATAGTTTCAGGTTACATCCAGCATCTTATTCCACCCAGAACTCCACTGAAGTTATTACTGTGAACTAGTCGTGAGCATTTGAGGTAATGTCCATGAAATATTTATCATTCAGTGGTTTTAATTATTTACTTATTCTAGGTCCTCATCACTGTAAGATCAATTTTATCTTTACTTCAAAAATTGATCATTACAAAACATAGCGAATGACTTTTCACAAAATCGCGGCGCTCATCAATAGACATCGATAGAAATGCATTACATTTAGGTATACTGTGCTCAGTTGAATTACATTTGACGCATTTCTGTAACCGTTTGTCAACAGAAACGAGAGATGATTTTGATTTGTCCTGAGGTTTTAAATTTGAATTAGATTTATACTGGGTCAACTCTAATTCTTCACATCGAGAATCCAAAAATTCTGAGATTGACGGCGAAGCATCCCCTCGATTTTCATGTATCCATATCCCACGAGATTCAGGGTCAACCCTCGATAATAACAAATGGATAAGCCAACAATCACGATTAGTTTGGACTACTGCGTCGAGCCCCCTTATTGTTTCGTTTGCACCATCAGAAATTCTCCTAAAAATTGCACAATTTTCCTGCGATGTTGATGGAAGCGCCATAAAGTTTTCAATAAATGCCGTGACGATGTGCTTAGGGCGATCAAAACGCTCCAGTAGACGTCCACGCCGTACTGTAAGCAGCTTCCGTAACTGGAATATGCTTGATAAGAGCAGCAGCTTCATCCTTCAATAGAGATTTCAAGTAGTGAAATTTTTGCTTAAAAGAAAGATTCTGCTTTGAGTCAATAAAGCTGGTGAATAAATCTCAAAATGATGGCCAAAATGTATATTTTCCTGAGAAGTGCGGAATGTTAATTTTAGGTAACTCATTTTCCTGAAATAATGAAACATTAGAAGTGGATCAAATTTATTTTAAAAATGATGCTTTCTGTTCCACTAGCTTATTCATGATATCATCATCATCTTTAGGTCGCATATTTAGTGCAATGACGCGTTGAGTAGACAGGTACTTCCTCTCATACGTAAATCGAAATCGGAATCAGGGTCGACATAATCAGGAATCATTTCGAAACGCATACATCTTATCAGTTGACCTAACAAACTGCTGCCAAATATCTTCTAGTTTGTGAGTCCTAGTTACGATTTCATCGTAGGACACCTTTTCTGGAGGACTGGTTGCGTAAGCAAGTGCTCGAATAATGGAGCCCTTAAGGCGTCCACGCACGTGCATTAACCTCTTCATTTCCTCTGCCATAACGAAATAGGGTTTAAATATGATTCAAATATAATTCGGCTCGAAGGACCAATAATTTTCAATTTAATATTAAATGATTAAGAATACATTTTATTTAGTTTTCAAGTTTCACAATTGTAACAAATGAAACAAGCCTTGTGCTCACACCGAACTACTACGAATAACAACCAAGCAAAAAGTGTCTCTACAAAAGGGCGGTGTTTCAATGCATTTCGCTTTTTTTTAAACAAATGTTCAAAAAGGTGCAATCTCAATGTACTGTGTATTTGGTTCACGAACAGTATAATTTGTAATACTTTCTTTTTTATTAATAAAAGCAATATGCAGAATATACCATTTATGCCCATTTGTTTTTGCATCAATTCATCATCATATATATTGTCTCATATATTGTCTCAAATTATAGCTTCTATCTTTGAGTATCACATATTAAATCAACTGCAAAGGTGACGGATACAATGTATGCGAACAGGTATTCTAGTATGTTGGAATGACCAAAAATAAATTTAAAAATAGAAAGGTTGAACAAAATAATAGCATAAAAAATAAGGTTGGTATGGAAACAAAACAATGTTTCCTTCACATCAAAAGTCATGAGCCGGATTTTATTATGTGAACATTCTACACCAAGAAAACAATCAACGCAAACGTTATTTCTTGAAAATGCTCATAATTTTAAAAGTCCCACCTAGCACACCGGGCTCAATTTTAAAACTAATATTGACAACTGCGCCCTGATATATTAATGTATCAATAAACAGACCAAGGATTTCATATTTCAGTATTATCAGGGTCACTTTGAGCGTAAAAACGAAAAAATAACAACTTGTCATTGAAAATTGCTTTATTGTTTTTGAAATATTCTCCTTTATGAGTAATTCACTTTTGCCTGCGTTCGAACCATTTATTAAAGCATTTTTCGAATCTTCTTTAATTACCTCCAAAATATAATTTTTAAATACAACGGCTTCGTTGTAGCTTCCGCCGAAAAAATAGTTGTGCACGCAATTTATTCCTGACGTTCGTAAACAAGAAGAAGACATTTGGTGCCAAATCAGGACTGTATGGCGAATGACTGATCAATTCGATTGTTTGAATGTTCAAATAGTGGTAATTAGGTGAGATGTGCGAACACTCGCATTGTCTTGATAAAGAATGATCCGACGGTGCTTGTTTGTGTTCCGTATTTCACAGATGACTTTCAGTAAACAAATGATTGTATACCATTTGAAATTGGGCTTTTTAGTTTCTGCAATGGTATACTAACCATATTTCGTTTTTACAAGCGACCATTTGTTTCGAAGTGCTTTGCGCGCGAACAAATTTTGTTGGATTTGCTTCATCTTGAAACACTATATAAGGTATGCGACAAAAAGATAAGGTCAGTTTGTTTTTTCTTTGTGGAACTCAATTTGAGTGATTACTCTTTGGATCTTGTGGATTTTATTGTTCGATAGAGAGAATGCAACAAATAAATTCTAATATAATGAGTAAACAAAGTCCCGTTAGTTTTAAATATATCAAAAAAGAAAAAAAGCTAAATATTGCTGCGACAAAATGATGAGGTCAGTTGCAATTTTTCACGAAAACAAGTTTATTAATGAACAGAATAAATTTTTTTAATTAATTTGGCTTCCAATTTTTTGGATTGTTTTAAAAATACGCCCGGCATCGATCCTACCAGGCTCGCGAGCGTTGTTTGCCGAATTTCTCTCCAGGCATTCAATATGGCCACTTTCAGCTCAGCAACAGTGCTGAATTGCCTGTTATCGGCATAAACTTCACGTACAAGAATTCCCCACATGTTCTCCATGGGATTCAGGTCAGGTGAGCGCGCGGGCCAGTCCATGACTTCCACTGAATTGCCTACAAACCACTCCTTTGTTGACCGACTCACATGGATCGCTGCATTATCTTGCTGAAAAACAAGCGGCGACTCTCGATTTTCAGCAAGAAAAGGCAGCAAACATGTGGAGAGTACTTCCTGGTATTCAGCACTGTTCATGCGTGTTGACGAAAATGCGAGAGGCAATGTTCCAATAGAGCTGAATGCTCCCCACACCATCAACGAACCACCACCAAAATTTCTTTTTGAAAAATATTGAGGCTCCTTTCTTAAATCCCGCCAATAATAATTCAAACCATCTGGGCCATCAAGATTGAATTTTTTCGCAAACTCTCATTTTACAAATCACCCTTTAGACAAAAAGTTTAAAGTAGGTTATGTTTAATAATGTCAAACTTTTGTATAAAAGCGTCACCTGACACGAAAGGAAATGACACTTGACAACAGTCAGTGTTGTCAAGGTGGCTAAATCAGGATTGACGGCCAGGAAGTCTTTGCTGTATGTTTGATGAAATTTGCTCATCTACTATGAACCGCTTCCCTGCGGCAAAACTCCTAACTCGGTACATACTGTCAACAATTGGTACAATTTTCTGAAGAAAGCAAACGCTTAGAAACAGTCAGCTTTGGACAATAGGAGAAAAATTGTGTTCTATCAGGACAACGACAGGCCACACACATCAATAATGTCTTGCTAAAAGTTCTAAGGGCTTTGTTGGGAAGTTCTTATGCATTCATCTTCCAAAGCTTCAAGAGAGGTTTGTGAAAATAGACTATGTTAATTTTTTACCAATGGGAACGAAGTTTTTTATGAGAAAGGCATAATGAAATTAACTTTAAAATAGCAGCAAATTAACGAACAAAACGGCACATATTTGATCTAAATCAAATCATACAACTATCATACAACTATCAGATTCCTGAAAATGACTTATGATTAAAGGCGAACTATTAAGAATAAAATAAAAATTAATGTAAAATAATATTAGTGTTTTTTGCTCATTTTTATTTATAACAATAGTTAAAAAATTAATATACAATTATGTTTAAATTTTAATTTTTAATGTGATTAGTTATTATTAGTTATGTTAGTATAACTCAATATGTCCCTTCCTGGAGGTTCATTTATATAATTATAAAGCATTAGTTAAAGTACTATTCAGTTAATTATAAAAATCGCATCGCTCAACATTTTTTAAGCGCAACTTCTAAAAGTAGTAAAAAGACTATAAAGTACCCTTAACGTCGATTTCAAATCCATATTTACGATATCTAAAAAGACATAAAATGATGAAAGTTAATAAAATATATATATTCATTATTACCTTCAGGTCTGGCTTTTGGCTTTGGTAAGCCAACATCTTGCATTAAATCAAAAGCAAATGCAACGTTGCTTGTCATGTGATCGACATCTTGTGGTGTTAGATGAAATTCATGGAGTGGAACAAAAAAACCGCCAAGTAAACCCATTAATAAACAAAGGTAAACTCCATCCCTAAAGTCACTACTTAAATCAGTTATTTCAAAATTCAATTTTGACAAATGTTTGTTAACAAATGTTATTAAAGATTTTTTAACTACAGCTAATTTCTCTGGAGCACAATCAAAAAGTGTATCAAAGGCGTCCTTTTCACAGCGCATTCCAACTTCATCATATTCCGATGTTATTTGCTCTTGATATTTTCTAAATTTAATAATTTTTTACAGTTTCTTTTGTTTAACATGCTTATTTTTTACATATACTCTCGTCTATACGAAAAACTTACTGCGCATTAAGAAGTCCTCCATTTTTTTGTGCAATAACAACGGTAACAAACACATTTTCTGGTAAACGAACAGGAGCACGAAAATGTCTCACTAATGCTACGAGAAGATGAAGTATGGCTACCATATTTTTAGAATGTATACTTTCAACAGACCATTTGGGTATTTTTTGGTGAAAGCCTAATGTCTGAATAACAACTTTTCTTATTATTCCGTATGCATAATAAATTTAAATATCTTACATGGTTAACTGCATTAAGTACAATATTTAATTTTTGGAGTTGTCCTTCTTCAGATTGGGTTACTTCTAAAACATCAAGTTTCTTTTCAGCTAGTTTTTCCCATAACTTGTGTAAAATCTGTCAAAAAAACAATTACACATTTACTTACGAAAAAAAAGTCTGCAAAATAAAACAAAGAAAAATCACACAACTGTGATGCGATTGCAACAGCATGTAAAGAGCCTTGCAGACTTAATATATTAAATAATTCTGCCGTTAAAGCAAATACACATGCAAAAATTATGTGTAATGCAAAGAAATTGACAAAATTTTCAGCAAAATATAATACTTTAATATTTTGTTGGACTATTATGGGTTTCTATTACTGCTTGCAGACGACGTGGCATGTAAAGGACTAAATTTTCCGTTTCTGACGCCTTTATTTTAAACCAGATTTTCGTGAGAGCTCCTTTTAGTGAACCCTTGCTACTTATCGCTACATTTTTCGGTTTGTGCTGTACTACCTCTTAAACTACTCAATAGGATTCAGGTCTGGTGATCGAGGAGAACTGTAAAGTTGCCGTGAAGCATAATAAAGTAGCCATTCTTTCACTGTTGGAAAAACCAGTGATCTCCAAGACCTAATTTGGTCACAGGCTATAAATGTTGCAAATTCCCCCACACCATCGTACTACCACCACCGTATTTCACAACATAACGGTTTTCCAAAATTCCAGATCTTTTTTTGGTATTTATTTGCATATTTCAATCTAAGCAGCTTATATTTTTCATTTATTAGAGGCTTCCTTCATGTAACTCTGCTTATGTACCCATTCTTTCGCAAAACCTTTGGCCGATCATTGAATGATCATGTTTGCTCAAAGTATTATAACGTCACAGTTCTGGGGCATCAACTTTTGGGTTATTATGCACTTTCTTCAGGATATATAGTAGTTAACATCTCGACGAGAACATCTCTCTTTGCTATTTTAGTAATATAAGTATTATTGTAACTAGATTTATATAAGTATTATTGTAATTAGATTTAAGAGATACTAGACTTAAAAGATTGGAATTAGATTTAAGAGAGTGTATTTGTATTTGCTATTTTGTAAGCAGCAAATATAGCTGCAAGCAAGTACAAAGAAGTTGAACAAGTCAGTAATAAATGGTGATAAATAACGCGAAGAAGTTTGTAATTACTTCCTACAATTTCAGAAGTGGGATTCGGCATGTTTTTTTTTGTTCTTAATAAATTAATAAATATATATAAGAATTTGTGGATTTATTTCAAAAATATAAAATATATAATATTGATGTAATTATTATCTCTTTAGTAACTTTAAAAAAGAAACTTTAAAAATGAGTGACACAGCGAAAAAGACTGTGTCAGAATTAAAAAACATGTGTAAGACAATTGGTTTGTCTGCACATGGCGACAAAGCCACGCTGGTGGCTCGGTTAAAAACTCGCCAAATTTTGAGCACTGTCGAAAAGAACTGCATGTTGAAATTGTTGGAGATAATGGTGGTGAAAGTGATCAAGGGTCCGTGGCAGAACTGCGTCGATCTGATGGAGAGGCAGTCGTTGGCGGTATTCATGTAGACAAAACGATTGACCAAAATGTGGTTCAGGGTGATAAAAAGGCACCAACAAGCTACAGCGGCACTGTACAAATGCAGGTAACGGACGACAATGATGCATTTAGTAATTTAAGAGATGTTAATGCACATACATTGAAGCATGTGCAAAATTTGATGACTGAGAGTGTCGACGAGTTGCTGAAACAACTATCAATAATGTTCGGAGTGCGGGATAATAAATTGAAACTTCGCAAAAAGTTCGAGTTGCGTAAGTGGCACTATAATGAAGAATTTTGTAAATATTTCAACGATAAAATTATGCTTGCAAATAAAATTTCCATGGATAATGACGAGTTGATTAACTATGTGGTGGATGGAATTCCAGACGCTCAAATACGAGTATATGCAAAAATGCACCGTTTTAAATGTAAAGCCGAATTACTCGAAGCACTAGCAGGTGTAGAATTGACCAATTGACCTGCAAAATAATTTCGTCATCATTTAATAAAATAATAAGATTTTATATAAAGACTAGATAACCCGACAAACGTTGTTTTGCCTTATAAATTATTTCTAGTTTCTAGATAAATTCTAGTGTAGACAAAAAGTAAGTCTGTGGTATATGCATGAAATAGGCATGGAGCGCTATGAACGAAAAGGAAAATAAAAATAACAAACGCCAAACAATATTATTTTTAAGTTATTATAGTTTATTTATTAAACTATTAATTTAAAATCAATAGATTTGTATGATACCAAGTTCCCTGGCAACAACTGTTGTATCTTCAAATTTAAATTGTCTTGGATTGACTGTAAATAATAATAATGATAATGGGTCAGCACTCAGTGTGTCTTGGATTAACTGTAAATAAGCGTTCGATTTAAATAAATTGAGACATGCATCAACTGGTGAAACTTGCTTGAGGGGCATCCATTTTATTGTTTGAGCCCATGTGAAATAGCGTGGTACTTGTGAATAGAGCATTGTTCTTGCAAAGGCACCAAAATCATCCGTACTATTACACAATTCAAAAAATGCAGTGAGTGTAGATTTAGGTGGATTTGGACCACGATCAATCACTATCTCGTTCGTGAAAAATACACGCTGACCGTTTTCAAGATGGACGGCTAACTGAACAGCTGCTGGATTCCGTTCATGAATTAGAAAACCGAAGACACGCCAAGCAGCTTCATTGGAGCTGATGTACCGACCAATTTGGTAGAGCGTAATTTCACCGTTTTTGTTCATTGGAGGAGCATTTACATATGTATTTTCTACTCTAAACACAGCCATATCACTGCCTTTATGGACATACTTATATATTTGATGCTCTTCACAGAACTGCAAAACTCAACATTAATATGAGCATTGTATGTCTTGCTTAGCAGAGGCGAATACGGCACCACCCGCCATTGTCCCCCATTATCGGGATTTCTTCGACGATATATTGGATATCCGTCGGTATTTGTTACAGTATCATTAGTGAAATCTTTAAAAAAATTTTTAGTACATTTTCCATCTACCATGCAAGGCGAAGACGAAGACGAAGACGAAGAAACGAAGTGGATGTAAATTTATATCAAAAAAATAAAAAATTTTTTGTTAAAGCAATAAGGATATTTTTGCTGGGTAGGGACTCCCTAATCACTTTAGTGGTATGAAAAATAGATAGTAGCCGATTCTCAGACCTACTGAATACGCAAATAAAATTTGGTAAAAATCGGTAAAGCCGTTTCGGAGGAGTTCGGTAACTAACATTGTGACATGGAAATTTTATATATAAGACCGCAAACAGACATCGTTTGGCCTTGTGACTTATTGATGATCTTTGCAAATGCCAATCTAATGGAAAATTGAACACATTTGAATTAAATTGAATTAAATTAAAATAAAACTTTTTCGTTTCGGAACTTGCCATTCAAAATGGTGGCTTCGATAATGTTTTTCATCAATTTTTTAATTACCAATCGCGTACTATTGCATATAATAAAATAATCGGTGATCCAACTTTCAGTCGTAAAATGTGTGGTGGCATGCCTGGCAAATCCAGTGAGTTTAAAAACTCTGCTGGATAGTTTACAACTTCGTTGGTATCACAAACTGTATTGATCGATTTGTATGATATTAAGTCGCCCGGCAATGTCTGTTTTATCTTGAAATTTAATTCATCAACGTCCATGTTTTTTTGCTGCTAATGGCTCTTTCTGCCAGCCACCCATGATTTATGTATTGTATGTGTACATCTGGAAATACGCGGTCAATGAGAGCATTTTGGGAATCAACGATAGTGCAGAAATTAGATGGCAGTTTTATGAATTCAGTATTTTCATAGACAACAACTTTTCATATCATAGCAAGTTTTCTTTTTCAAAAATATGAAAAAATTTATGTCAAAAAAATAAAAAAATTTTTGTTAAAGCAATAAAGATATTTTTGCTGGATAGGGACACCCTAATCACTATAGCAGTATGAAAAATAGATAGTAGCCGATTCCCAGACCTACTGAATACGCATATAAAATTTGGTAAAAATCGGTAAAGCCGTTTCGGAGGAGTACGGTAACTAACATTTTGACAATCTTAATTTTATATATAAGATAAAATGTCACTTCATGAAATTTTCGAAAAGTGTTACTTGCATTCAGTGCGACCTAACGAACCAAATGTTCGTAGTGAGATGAGGCTATTATTAGATGATCCTAAACCATTTGGTTGCCCCCCACGTAGATTGTCCTATGCAGAAAAAATAGAATTGCAAAAAACAATAGACGACTACTTGGCGAAAGGGTATATACGCCCAAGTGAATCAGAATTTTTCTCCCCAATTGTACTTGTGCGGAAAAAGTCTGGTGAAATCCGAATGTGCGTAGATTACAGACATCTAAATAAAATAACTTTAAAACTTAATTACCCAATTCCTTTAATTGACGATTTGTTAGACAGGCTAGCAAATAAAAAATTACAAATTTACAAATTTAGATGTGAAGAATGGGTTTTTTCATGTTTATATGAACGAATAGTTAATTAAGTATACGTTGTTTATAAAAATAAGAAAAAAAAAACAGTATTTCTTTTCTGATAAAATAGCCGAAAATTAATCGCTAGTTGAATTTTTGCATATGTATTTAAACTTTTGTCCGCATCATTTTTATCGTTTTTGTAAAATTAACCTTTATGTCTGCAATTAAGTAAATATTTTTTGTTTCTATTTTTTAATAATTTATGAAATAAAATAATACTGCATAGTTACTGTTGAGAATGCTTTTATTCTCAAGTTTCTATCAATTTGTATTTGTATACCGGAATTCCACCAAGCACATGTGACTTGTTGGACGGTATATTTGTATACTTTTTATATTCTTGAAGATACCACCGAGCACATAAACCCGTTGGTAATTTTATGAAAAGAAGATAAGTTCTATTCAAATTTGTATCATCGAATACGCTTTATTAAAAGAATTGATTTGTTTATATACATTTTTTCTTATAATAATTACTTACTAAAACTTATTACGTACAATAATTTACTGACCCAATTAATATCAAGCAAAAAATATTACTTATAATGACACATAAAATATTCAGCAAAACAATAAATAATTAATAGCAAGCAAATTACATAAAATATTTACCAAAACAATGAGTAATTAATAGCAAGCAAATCACATAACATATTTACCAAAACAATGAACAATAAATTATTTAAAATGTGTTCTTGCCCTAGTTATAAAATAAACACTAATCAGCAAAAATATAACCTATTAATATTTTACGATTACGTTAAATGCATTTTATCATGGGTCAGCAAAAGACAAAATAAATGTAATACTTAACATATCCTCCCCCGCGTTGAATTTTAATTCAACTAGAGTGATGTCATCTTTATGTTGTTGTGATATCAAATGTTGACCTTGATCTTGGAAGCGGCTGAGGTGTCTGAACATTCGGTTGACCTGGCGTCTGATTGTTTCGTATTAGTTTAGTTATTTTTAAGATGATGATTCCAATAATCAAAAACAAGGCTGCGTACCCCACTGACAAGCTATGCTTTTCAGTTTGCTGTACCTTTGATGATAGTTCAGGTAATGTATCCTTCGTTAGTTGTTTTTGCAGAATTGTTAGTTCTCTTAATTGTGGAAGATATTCAATTTCAGAATTGTTTATCCGCTTAGATGGCTTAATTTCAGGTGTTGAAATTCCTATGCTCGTATATGCTGATTTGAGCAGACTTGTTATGACTTGGTGTCCTTGAATAAGAACCGTGTTGTCTCTGATGACACAATTTGATGCAATTTTTACCATGCCGGTACTATTCAGTATCACTGGAAATGCATTCGAACCGCATACTGCATTGAGTTGCATCGGATATTTGGTAGCGTATATCCAGTGATTTTTGTGTTTCAGCTGAGTCCAAATGGTAGTTTCCTTTAATTCAACTATTTTGCATTCGTCACCTGTTCCATTATTGTACAAATTGATTTCACACTTGCACACATTTGCTCCACGACGATAAATAGATTGAACATTTGAGCAAAGGTATGAGTCCTCTTCAGTTGTAATACACGATTGCAGTGCTAATTTTGTTATGGGGAAGTATTCATCCTTGTGAGAATTGATAGCCAGATATTCTGTTGATGGCTTTATTGACGTTAATACCTTGGTCGCGCTAGAGATCACAGGTACTACATGAAATATTTCAAAGGTTTTTCGTTCAACGAGTGGTATCATAATATTGAATATTACATGGTCACTTGATACCTGCCCAGTTACTTGCATCAGCTTATAAAGAGTTAATATATCATCTTGTTCTACTGGAAATTGTAAATGAGACGGTAAATGTGCTCGGATTTTTTCTCCTTCCGTTATTAACTGTTGCGGCGTAATTAGAAGCGGGTTAATTTTTTCGTGATGACTATCAATGAGAACATCCATGATTGTGGATTGCGTACGTTGCAAATTTATCGTGGCGATTGTCATTTGGATGCTCAGCATGTTAATAATATTGCCATATAATTGGTCATGTTCGTCCTTAACTAACCTTTTGGAGATCGCGTTTAATTGAGTCTCTATACCCTGGAAATTATTTTTGAGACTTATCTGGTTTTTTTTATAACGTTAATTGTGGAGTCAATTATTGATATTTGATTTTTGAGCAGATGTTTGAGTTTGTCATCATGATCTTCTAGGGTTTTGATCGTCTTCGACATGTCACTTGCATAATTGGAATCGAGTACTCCAAACAGGGAACTTGCTATATTCCCAACTAAATCGATTGCCCCTCTCTTATTTCGGGCGCTTGACATAAATTCAAATGCTGTTCTCAATTCACTTTCTGCTTGCTGGAAATGATGAACCACAAACTTGCATGTTGAATTTAAGTTGCTTTGATCACATAGCTTCAAAAGATTCAACGTTGAATCCTTTAGTATGTCCAGCTCTGTATTAAATGGAGCTAAATCGTAATAGATTATCATTTTCCAGTGGGATGTTATCAATTTTGTTGTTCCTACTTGTTCAAAATGTATGCCAGGAGCGGAGCGAAGTTCAGTTACGTTTACTGGTGAACAAAGAACAATCGGGAGTAAAAGTAGAGATATCAGTACTGTAGTTAATTTTATATTGGAGGACACACGTCTTTGTTTTCGTGGGACTATCTCATTGTCCATTCGTTCTTCTTTGTTATGGCGATTCTCCTGTGTTTTAATAGGTTTGTTTTCAGGAAATAAGGGTGCTAGTTTGTGAATTGGTCGCTTTAACATGCCTGTTGCGGTTTTGACATCTACGACTCGTATAAATCCATCATTACCCTTATATGTCTTCATTATTCGCCCTAAAGGCCATTGCAAAGGTTGTACATTATCTTCTTTAAGGATCACCAGTGTATTTTCTTCAATGTTTTTGCATTCTTCACGCCACTTGTTTCGAACCTGTAGTTCCATTAGGTACTCTGCCCGCCATCTTTTCCAAAACTCTTGTTTTAAGTGTGCAACCAGATTCCATCTATTCAAAAGAGATGATTTTACCTTTTCACATGTTGCGTCTACGGGTGCTGTTAGTGCATCACCAACTAAGAAATGACCTGGTGTGAGAGCCTGCAAATCATTTGGATTAGACGACATTGGTGTTAAAGGTCGTGAGTTTAAAATAGCTTCTATTTCTATAATGACGGTTTCGAGTTCCTCGTACGTTAACGTTTCAGTTGAAACGCTTCGGACCAATAGGTACTTTGCTGATTTAACCGCTGCTTCCCATAGTCCATCAAAATGAGGTGCACGAGGAGGGATGAAGTGAAATGCTATTCCCTTGTTGCTGCAAGTTTTTGTTATTTGTTCCTGAGCTACATTGGAATGGATTGTTGTTGTTAATTCCTGCAACTTGTTAGAGGCACCGACAAAATTCGTTGCATTGTCACAGTATATATTTTGGCAGCATCCGCGTCGTGCGATAAAACGTTTTAATGATCCGATAAATGCTTCTGTTGTCAAGTCGCTTACCAGTTCCAAGTGTACTGCCTTTGTCGCAAAACAACAATAAACTGCTAGGTATGCCTTATGCGGACGTTTTCCTCTCACCTTATAATGCACCCAAAAAGGCCCGCAGAAGTCAACTCCGGTATTAAAAAATGGCCTGTTTGGCTGTACTCGATGCCTTGGTAAACTTCCCATGACTTGTTCAAAAGTAACTGGTTTACATCTAGTACAACGAACACAATGGTGAATAGTTGATCTTGCCATAATTTTACCCTTGATCGGCCAAAATTTTTGTCTCGCTGCTGCCAGCAGTGCTTGACCGCCGCAGTGCATATTTCGTTCATGTATGTTTTTCATTTACAGTTTTACAATAGGGTTATTGTATGGAAGGACTATCTGGTGCTTTCATCATATGTCAGTGATGATGCTTCTGACCTTCCCCCCACGCGAATTATCTTGTGTTCATCTAAAAATGGCATCAGTCCAGCAAGTGTACTTGCAGGTTTTACTGTTTGGTTGCGTTCTAACTGATTTAATTCTTCTTTTAGTTCTGACTGTTGTATGTACTTCACTATATGCCTGAGTGACAGCTCCAGTTCCATAGGGCTTAGAGCCATAGTGATATTGCTTAAATTGGTTCGCCTTGCCCGATTTACAAATCGCAGCATATATCCCACCGTATGTAGTAGAGTTCTAAATGAATTCCTGTGATTGATTCTATCGATCCAATGGATATCGTAATCAGTTGAGATTAAGGCCACTTCCCTTGTCGTTTGTTTCCATTCAGGATTCACCGGATCAATACAGAGAGTTTTATTGAATTCGCCAGGCCAGTTGCTTTCGGAACCATGAAGAAAGAGTGGACCGTATAACCACAAGTTATTTTCGAGTAATTGAGCTGGCTTGATACCCCGTGATAATGAGTCAGCTGGGTTGTCCTTAGATCTTACGTGACGCCATTGATTAGGCAAGCTAATTTCCTGAATTGCATTGATTCTATTTGCTATGAATTGTTGATGCCTTGCTGATGAAGAATTGATCCAGAATAGAACGATTTCTGAATCAGTCCAATAATATGTTGCTACATCATGATTTATATTGTTCTTAACCTTTTTCATCAATGTCGCTCCTAATAGAGCTGAACACAGTTCTAACCTTGGAATCGTTTGTTTTTTGAGTGGAGCAACACGAGACTTGGAACACAACAATCTATTTATTAGTCGACCATCCATTAGTTTCGCTCGAACGTAGACTGCGGCTCCGTATGCCTTTTGTGAAGCATCACAAAATACGTGCAATTGTATTGATTCAAGTGCTGGCATCTGTTTTCCGAATATATGACGATCTATTTTAAATTGATCTAGTACTTGTAGATCGTCATAAAAGGTAGTCCACCTAGTGTATATTTCGGTTGGTACTGCTTCGTCCCATGTTAATTGTAGTTGCCATAGGTCCTGAATTAGTATTTTTGCTGTTACGAGTACTGGACCTAGTAGTCCTAATGGGTCGAAAATTTTGGCTAGGTTCGAAGTAATGGTTCTTTTAGTAATGATTTTTAGTGGATCCAGTTTTAATTTTATGCGAAATTGATCTTCTTTTGGTTGCCAAGTCAATCCTAATGTTTTGATTGATGTTGCGTCGTCACTTTGAAAGTCCAAATCAACTTCTTGATCTTCTTTTGCAATATTTTGAAGAAGTGACGGATGGTTGGCACACCATTTACTTAGCTTGAATCCTGCTGATTCCAACAAACCTTTTAACTGAGTTTGTATATCTTTGGCAGTTTGGAGACTATTTGATCCACTTAGGCAATCATCTACGTAGAAGTCATTACTTAGTGCTGCTGCACCTAGTGGATATTTTTGCAACTCAGATTTCGCCAACTGTTGTAAGCATTTAGTAGCCAGATATGGGGCTGATCGTGTTCCATAGGTGACTGTTTTTAATCGATAAAATTGTAAGGGTTCGTTATTATTGCTTCTCCAGACTATTAATTGATATCTTTGATCTTCGGGCTGAATAATAATTTGTCTGTACATTTTTTGAATGTCAGAACAAAAGACAAATCTTGGGCACCTGAATCGAAGTAAAATCGCAAACAATTCCTCTTGAATTGTAGGGCCAGTAAACATTGTATCATTTAACGATAGTCCACTACTCGTCTTGCACGATGCATCAAATACCACTCTTAATTTCGTGGTGCTGCTATCGGGCCGTAAAACGCCATGATGTGGGATGACATAATGAGGATTGACTTGGTTGATGTCAACCCTTTCCATGTGTCCGAGATCAGCATATTCATTCATGAACTGTACATACTGTGTTTTGAGTATTACATCCTTATCGAGTCTTCTTTCCAACGCTAAAAACCTGTTAATGGCAATGTGTTTTGACTCACCAAGCAACGATGGATCTTGCTTGAAGGGTAATCTGACACTGAATTGACCGTCTTGATTCCTTTTCATATAAGTTGCAAAATGAGACTCGCACAACTCTTCGGAAGGAGACAGATTTTTGTTTGCCTTTTCTGGTTCATCTAGTTGCCAGAACCGCTCGATAACCTTCATCGTATCTTGCTCATCTTCAGAGCATATTCCACAAACTTGTGGTGAAATAATTGAATTTTGGTTAGATATTTTTCCCACCACAAGCCACCCAAGCAATGTGTTCTGTAGGATGGGGAGACCTCTGCCAAGGTTTATTTGGCCGATGGACAATAGTTGATGAGAAAACTCAGCTCCAAGTAGGAGATCGATTTTGTTTGGGGTACTGAACGACGGATCTGCCAGATTGATGTTCTGTGGTATTTTCCAGCTTGAGCTTTCAATATGAATGCTCGGCTGGTCACACACAATCTTAGGTAATACATAAGCCTCTATTCGGCTGCTAAATCCGTTAATTCTGGACGAGAAAGCTAAATTGATTCGTTGTTGCGCATCTTGTTTTTTTTGCCCCACACCTTCTATACATGCTGAGGTCTTTTTCGGGTTTTCACCTAACTTCTTAATTATTTGATCGGTTATCAGGTTGACTTGGGAGCCGGAATCCAATAATGCTCTGCACTCAATTTCTCTTCCATTGTTGCCTTTAACGACAACACGTGCAGTTCCTAATACCACATAATTTTTTTGGATGTTGAGATTGTTGGAGAACAGAGAAGCAGGATTTTTTGATAATGATGCCTTCTTAATCATGGATGCTTCAAGTGTGCCTTCTAAATGCAGCAAGGTGTTGTGTTTCTTGCTGCATTTTAAGCAACTGCCTGATGTGCAGTCTTTTGTGAAGTGACCATTTTTTAGACAATTGAAACATCGTTGCAATGATTTTATGAGATGTAGCCTCTTAGCTGGGGTGTCATCCAGGAACTGCTTGCATAGATGAATTGGATGATTATCTCTCTTGCATATTGGACATTTAACTGGTGCAGTGTTAGTTGTAGCCACTGTCTTAACCCATTTTTTGATTGATGCGCTATTATTTATTGTTTCTAGTGATTGGAACCTTTGTTCAATAAATTGAAATAGTTCCTTCATAGTGATCAGCTCTCGATTGTTTGATAATGACTGCTCAAATGCTGTTTGTGTGATCTTGTCTAATTTCTTCAACGTCATATGAACAATTATGACGTCCCAATGTTCGACTGGAATGTTCTGCGCCTTAAGTCCCAATAAACACTCTTGTGAAATGTCATGCAATGTTTTAAGGCCAGAAGCAGTTTCAGTTGTCATTGCTGGTAATGCGAATAATTTGTTTAACAATGCGGTAACTAATAATCTACCATTATTGTATCTAGCCTTCAGAATCTCCCATGCGGTAATGTAGTTCTCAGCTGATGCTGGCAAATGCTTTATCAGGTTTTTGGGCTCACCAATCAAGTTAGTTGTTAAGTAGAACATCTTTTGGATAGGTTTGAATGGTTGTTCGTCTATAAGTTGTGTAAACAGGTCTCGAAACTCTACCCACTTCAGCTGGTTTCCGTCAAATATTGGAATTGTTAACTGTGGTAATTTTACTGCCTGAATTGTTGAATCGTGCTGGTAGTGAGAATTGAATGATTTTAGCTTGAGTTTCAAACAAATCTCCATGTCTTGGAGTTTTTGACTAATTTCATAATACAATTCCCAGGAGTACCCTTCAATGAATTCTTCTAATGTAGAATTCCATATTTTTTCATTGTTGTTATCGAATGCTTTGTGATAACCTTCTATCAAAGCAAGCTTGCAAGAATAAAAAACTTCATTTTGAGATTCTTGGCTTGCCATTTCAATTTCTTGACTGGATCTGTCAATGACATTTATGAGTGCTCGTTGATTACGCAACACTCTTGATAATTCTTCATTTTGTTGAAGCTGCATTGGATTTTGATTGTGTTGCCTTGGCGGCTTTTCCTGAGCATTTTCTACCTCTTGCATTTCGATTAATGCCTTGTTAAAAATACCCAAGTATTTGTTTGTCAATTCAGTCATTCTTTCATAGTAGCCCGTGGTGAAATACTCGTCTTCTGTATCTTCAGCCATAGCTTTACAAGATAATAACGTGTTGTGGTTCTTCTCTAACCTTGACCATTGTTCAGTTAACCGTAGAATTCTATCCTGATAATAGCGATTCGTCTTCCTTGAGGCTGGATCCTTCTTGAAGTTGCTGATTATCCTCTCGATCTCAGCTCCTATAGCTTGTTGTTGATCAATAAGTGTGTTGAAATGCTCCATGATAATACCGTTCCTATTTATTGTCCTTATAGGAATATCACGTCGGGGTCACCAAAAATATGTTGAGAATGCTTTTATTCTCAAGTTTCTATCAATTTGTATTTGTATACCGGAATTCCACCAAGCACATGTGACTTGTTGGACGGTATATTTGTATACTTTTTATATTCTTGAAGATACCACCGAGCACATAAACCCGTTGGTAATTTTATGAAAAGAAGATAAGTTCTATTCAAATTTGTATCATCGAATACTCTTTATTAAAAGAATTGATTTGTTTATATACATTTTTTCTTATAATAATTACTTACTAAAACTTATTACGTACAATAATTTACTGACCCAATTAATATCAAGCAAAAAATATTACTTATAATGACACATAAAATATTCAGCAAAACAATAAATAATTAATAGCAAGCAAATTACATAAAATATTTACCAAAACAATGAGTAATTAATAGCAAGCAAATCACATAACATATTTACCAAAACAATGAACAATAAATTATTTAATCAGCAAAAATATAACCTATTAATATTTTACGATTACGTTAAATGCATTTTATCATGGGTCAGCAAAAGACAAAATAAATGTAATACTTAACAGT